CCCGCCGCCGGGACCGCGCAAGGTCCGCTCTCCGCCGGGCTTCACTTGGGTCAAGGGCGCAGGGCCCGAGGGCGTGCTGGTTGCAGACCCCGACGCTAGGCGGCGCTGATTGCCGCTGGGGATGAGGGAGATGAGCGGATTTCTCTTGGGAAAATGTGCCAAACACTTTCCTAAGCCCCCAGCGGGTCCTCTTTCCACGCGGCCCCTACCCCACGCTCCACTAACTTCTGTGCAACGCACCAGGCAGGTCGCCTCCGGGCCTTTGCACAGTCCTTTGCCCTGGTTCCTGCGAGAAGCCCACTGTAAACTAGTCGTGGGTTCCCGCTGGCACAGAACTGTGCTCCTCCTCTACCCACCGCACGCGGCCCCCGCAGTGCACCATGAGCTGCCTGGGGCCAAGGACAAACCCTTCCTGGGACCCTGGCTGGCCCACAGCCTGGCTCGGGGATGCTCCAGAGCCGTCACCGCCAGGCGGCGAGCTTCCCAATAGCTCCCGCGACCTCCCTCCTGCCACAGACCCGGTCCCTGGGAGGCCCAATCACTTCTTTGTGATCCCCTGGCAGCAATAGCAGCTCTGGGAACCTCGCCCAGTCATGGACGACTTGTGCTGGGGCGGGATGGAGACTTCGCGTGCTAATTAGGTCCTCAGGTCGCTAAGTGGAGAAGCCCAACCAGTTACCTGCGGCTCAAGCCCGGTGCTTCTTGGGAGGCCTGGTGACGGGCTTCCTGCTGCTCCAAGCAGAGGGGGTGTTATGAGGCTTGCATTCAAGAGCATGTAGAAAAAACCCGCCCTGACCTGGGCGGGACAGCATGCATTCACCTGCCTGCCCCGACGGACACACCTGGGACTCTCCACACACGTGCCCCTAATCACCTCTGACCTGGGCCACACCGCCCTCCGAGGTACAAACTAAGCCACCTGAGTCCATTCCATTTTCTTCCAGGGATGTTTCCACATAACCCTAATTTGCTGAATTTCCTCCTGCTCTGGCAGGATTTCTTTTAGATCTGGGCATATGTTAATTTGCATAGCTGGCATCTCCATATTTTTCTCCATTTTTCAATTAGCAAATTTATCTCTTTGATGCAAAAGTACTGGCAAGATTTTGTTGTGTTTTTTTTCCCTCACCTAAAATCAGAAAGTTCAGCAGATTTGAAGCCTGTTACTATTCAACTTAAGCTTTTAATTCATGTGCCTGTGTTTGTAAGTGCCCACAAAGGTGATGTGTCTTAACCTTGATGGGCACCGCCAGACTAAGGTATTGAGGAGGCATCTTTAGGCAGGTAATGGGGACCCCTGTTTAAGTAAGCGCTGTTTACCCTTCTCCATCATCTGGAAGCTGGGCCTGGGGACCAACCACGGCAAAGCCCGGCTTGCATGGTGCTCTCTGCACAACGTGCTGCACGCGCTGACCCCATGCTCCCGGGAAGGCGGGGTTCAGCCATCTGTGGGAGCTTCCTCAGGCACTGGCAGGGTGTCTCACCCCATCCCCACACAGCTCTGTCCTTGGAGTGGTTTTGCTGAAGTCCGCATTTGTCAACCGGTGATCCATGTTCCCTCCCTGGCTGCCCCGTGTGTGCCCCGGGCGCAAGGCGCCTTGGGCAGCTGCTTGACTCGGCGCAGAGCCAGAGCTGGGAGTCAGGAGTGACTGTTCGTTCGCTCAGAGAACCTCAAAGTGGCCACACTCCTCTGCCACTTCCTGCCGCGGGCCTCACTGTATTCACTTGACACAGTGCTTTGGGCCCCTTGGCCAGACCCTGCTGCGCGCTAATTCTAGGGACACACGCAGGGCGGTTTCCACGATGAAGTGAGACGATGGGGCACCCAGGGTAAGGGCTCTTCCCCTCTCTGGAGCCCGCAGGCTGCCCCCACACACACACACACACCCAGGAACAGCCCTACACCCCCGTGGATGGGAGACACGCATCCCCACGGGGATTTTAGTGACTCGGAGCAAGAAGCACTGCTCCCTCCAAGGACCAGAGATGGGAGCCAGCCCGTCTATGAGCAGAGGTTCGGTGCCAGGCAGACCTGTGCTGCGCGCTGGCGGGTCTACTGACCTGTCAGCACCCCCACGGGTCAGACCTGGGCAGGGCCCGGGCTGGTGCCCCATACACTCGGATAATAAATTATAGTGAGAAGTTTTCTTTATAAAGAGCTTTCTACACAATCAAGTCTTAAGTTCTCCTAACCAATGAAAACAACCTAAAGTCTGTCCCTATTATTCAGGCAACACCAGCAGAAATCCCAGCTGAGGTGAGGATAGCACCTAAGCAAGCGTAGATCCATACGTGAACAGCTACACATGCTAATTGCTTTTACCTTGGGGAAGAAATAATGTTGGGTGTTAGGGAGAGATCAGCGAAATACGATTTTGCAGGCTGTAGGTTTTTCTTTCAAATTATTTTACTCTG